CACTTCTCTGCTTGAGGCTCAGTATTTCACCATCTCCAGAAATAACCAATTTCCTGTGGACAAATCTACCTTACATTTCATGTTAAAACCTCACATGCCCTAATGCTGAAATCCTCTTGCAGAAACTGTAGAAATTAAAAGCCTACTGCAGTAATAAAAATAAAATTAATGGTCCAGTATAAGCTTCTACAAACTGCCAAGATCAAAACTCCCTGAATACACATTAAAGTCTGAAACAAGCTCTGGCCACCCAATGCTTCTCCACTTGTATATTGTGTTCCCTCAAATTTCATTCTCGCTTTACTTCTCTCTGTACTCCTGCATACAGCACAAATTGGGAGGTTTAGATGTTTCCTTCTACCAAACACAGGTCTCTGCCCTGCTTCTTCCATCTCCATCCTCTCCTTACCCATCAATACTGCCTGTTCTTTGCCATTTTCAGTATAAAAGTAGTAATCAAGAGTACACGTACCTTACACAGGCCAGGTCCTCCTCCCAAACTTAAGCCACTACCTTCCTGGGCAGAAAAGTAGATACTATAGTAGGTTGAGGGTGCCCCTCCATAAGGAAGGAAACAACAGGAATGAGAACTAGAGTGTGATTCCCCAATCAGTAATAATATACATGTAACATAACTACTCTTTATAAAGACTTAAATTCACTGTGAAGTTTTGTTGCCTTTGTAATTTCCTTCATGCTGTCACGTCTAATTCTCTTCTCATTCTGGAAGGCTTTTCTCACATGCCATTTCACCCACGAAACCTTCCCTGGTGTCTTCAATGAAATGAAGCCTCTCTTCTGAGGCCTGGATCCAATGCTTTGCAAAGTGTGGTCTAAAGACCAACCACAACAAAATGTCTTAGTAGTTATTAAAAAATGTATTACTGAGCGCATCAATGCTATTGGGGTAGGGCTTTCTAGGTGATTCTTTGGTCACTCAAGTCCGTCTTCGTTTTGTACCTGATCATTACTGATTTCTTTTTGTCCTATAACCTTACTAGGCATTTGCTCTAGATCTTTGGAGAATTTTTTTTTTTTTAAATGAGTAACTCCTTAACCTTTAACTTGCATATATAGCAACTGCTCAACAACAAACTTGTTAAAATGAACTTAATTTTTACTCTGAAAAGGACTTTATTCCCTGTTTTGTCCTACCCTGATAAAAGTGTCTAGAAGTAAAACACAAGCAAAATGATTATAAAGGAATTAAAATATTTTACTCTGTTTCATAATGTACCGTCTTCATTAATGTAGCCAAATGTAGGTTCTCTGAGTTATTTTAAATGCAATATTAAAATGCACTGAAAATTTCGAAGCATTTTTCCCCCCACTACAATAAAAGATCGCCTTTCTTTAGTAAGTTGCTTCCTCAGCATCTATTACACTTTTAAATGCGGAGTGATCTGTAGAATGCAAGGACTCCTCAAATCTTAATGCAATTTCAGGCTGTCTCTTATTATTTTATAGACTTTATTATGTAGCCTTTTAAATATAATTTAAAAATGATGATAGTGGCCGAAACCGGTTTGGCTCAGTGGTAGAGCGTCGGTCTGTGGATTGAAAGGTCCCAGGTTCAATTCCGGTCAAGGGCATGCACATTGGTTGCGGGCACATCCCCGGTAGGGGGTGTGCAAGAGGCAGCTGGTCGATGTTTCTCTCTCATCGACGTTTCTAGCTCTCTCTCCCTCCTCTGTAAAATATCAATAAAAAATATGTATATTTTTTAAAATGATGATAGTGAAGGCTTTCTCATTTGGCAGATTGCAAGGAGGCAGGAGAAGCAGTATTTTAGCACCGTGTCTCGGTTCACAAGTATACATAGAGGTAACACAGTAATGTTCCAGTGACAATGTCTTACACAATAACATGATCTGGAAAGCTTAATTATTGGTGTGACACTGCAAGTTTCCAAGATCTTACACTAATAAGCTATGTATTCCCACTTTGGGAATGTTTATAAGTATCAGGCTTTCTGTTTTTACACCAAACTCTGCTTTATGAAATGCCCCATAGTTATATGGTGGGGAAAGAAGTTATCAGTGTGCTCTCAGGTTTCTAGAAAGCCCATTCCCCTATAACATGTGCTGAGTCTAAAAATATATAAATAAAAACGTCCGAGGAGAATCACTGCCTCCATTATTAAAATGAATTTTAAAACTATAACAGTTGTTTACTAAATTGAAAATTTTCATTGAAATGCTCTTTTGAAAGCTCTGCTTCATTTAAAAAACATTTTTATTTCATCTGAATTATTTGGTACGAAAGTACTGTCACCCAAATAGCAGGTTCTTTTAGTCACTCAAGCCACCCTTCCTTCAGGGGCAAATAAATAGAAAGCAAATGATATACAGCGTATATGTAGAAAATTTTCCTTTACATAAATGAAGAAAAAATTTTGGACATTTTACATTTAGTATAGCTTAGCAATCCAGTTTATATAGACAAACCTAGTGAACTGTTAGGAAGTATATTACATATACAAAAGAACTCAATAGGCAGCAATATTTTAACTCTTGATTTAATATAAAGTGTTTGATTTAATTATTTTCTTGTATTTTTTTTAGAAGATACTCCATCTGTAAATTTAAGTTTGGTTGGCCCTTTTTAGTCTTTTTGCTCAATATTTTAAACATTTCCATTTTCTTCTTTTTGTAGAGTCTTTGAGCTTCTTCTCTCTCTTGCTTTCTCCTCTCAAATTCCTGAAAGTAACATATGTAATTTTCATTAGTAACAAACAGTAAATATAGTTCCAAAATTGTGTTGAAACAGGTATCACCATGCTAAAACTTTAGGTCTGTCTCTTTTATTTTCAAAATATTAAGAGTCTCTCTTATTTTCAAATGTTAAAAGGCACTATAATACATGCTATTACATAAAGTTATTAAATAATTTTAATTATATGTATGCAAATAAACTCAGAGCATCGAAGGCATATTTATGAAATGATTTCATCATTTAACTAGACCCATTGAAGAGTTAAAAGTGACTTTATCTTCATGTAACACTAAAACCTTCATTTCCAGAACATCTCATATTCTTTTTAATTTGCCACCTGACAGATTTAATTCCAGAAAAATGTTTAGCTACATATATGTGTAAAACATTATACGAGGCATTATGATTTTTAAACACTTAAGAATGATTATGCTCATTTAATTTGCTAAGAGAAAGACTCAAGTTCATTTGAATCTAAGGAAAACGATCCCATTAGTGTATAGATCCAAAAAGCACTCCTTAAAGTGTACTATAATATTTACAAAATCAAATATAAAAATTAAACAAAAGTTCTTTAATAATGCAATATATGGACTGTTTTTCAATTTCCCCTGTAACACATATAGCCCCCAAATGACACAGCCTTCAATTTGTATGGTCACTCATATCTAACCAAGTACTTTCACATACATCATAGTACATTTCATTCTTTAAAAGTGTTATCTAGCCTTTATCTTCATCTTACAGACAAGGATATGAAAAGTGATTTGCCCCAAATTCCAAATAACTGGTACAGCCAAGTCTCAAATCCAGATCTTGTGAATTCAAAGTTTGAGCAATTCTCCATTATGCTATACCACTGTCACTTAAACTTGTTCTTATATGGTATGGTACCTCATTTATTTTAAAAAGCACATAAAGATTTGGGACTTATTTGTGGAAATTTAGGTATGTGGAGTTTCACTAAACAAAGTAAAAAGAATGTAGTCTTACTATCAATTATGGTTCTTATTTAATGTTCTCAATTTTGATTTTTCATAAGTAATGATGCTGGGTATTAACATTTGAAATCTAAGAGACTGTCAATTTTCATAATTATAAAGTCCTAGCATTTATCTATGTAAAGAAAATTTAAGACATTAAATGCTTTACAGTACAAAGGTCCTTATTGTACTTCATCTGGTATACTGTTTCCAAAGGTGGCAGATATCAGATGCTTGATTAGGAAAGAGGAGAAAGTAATAAGCTATGAAACTATTTCCATGGTAAAATGTTTCTGCTTCATTCTAGTCTGCCACCGATTTACAAATAATCATAAAATTTTAGATAGGAAACTTTCAAAAATACCCAAATTCTAAAGTCAAAACACACACAAAAAATTCTAAATCAGTGCCATCACTGATATGCTATCTTTTTTAAAGTGCTAAATTAATAAAGCTTCAATATAAAAACTCAGAGTTAACCAGATTAACCAAAATGCCGATTTTGTTTAAGTTGTAGATAATTTTGTTTCCTTATTAGAAAAAGTCTATTCTAATTGTGGGTTTCTGAATGATTACAGAGAGTGGTAATGTTTTGTTAAGTTAATGTCATAGACTTTTTATTTTATTTTTGAGAGAGGAACGAAGGGAGGGAGGGGGGGAGAGAAGGAGGGAAAAAGGGAGGGAGGGAGGGAAAAAGGAAAGGAGGGAAGAAGAGGGAAGAAGGGACATGATAAGTTGTTCCACTTATTTATGCATTCAGTGGTAGTTTGTTGTATATGCTCTGACTGGGGATCGAGCCTGCAACCTTAGTGTATCTGGATGACACTCCAACCAACTGAGCTTCCTGGCCAGGACTCTAGTAGGCTCTTTAATTAACAAGACTAACTCTTTATAGTAAAGAAATACTGTATTCTCCTCCCCCTCTGGCTTTCAGTTGCTTCAATGTAAAATTATGCAAGTAATCTATATTTTTCTTAGGTCAGTGGTTTTCAAATTTTATTATTCATAAGAATCTCTTGAGGTACTTGTCAAAAGTGCCAGTTCCTAGACCAAACTCTTAGTAAACATTATCCCAGAAGCTCATGTCATTAACCTCTAAGCAATATCTTTAAAATTCTATTTCTGACCACTTCTCAAGGATAAGATAAACAATCAAGGAATCTGAATATGTTAAAATTCTCCAACTCTGATATACATTCAATAAATGTTTACAGAGGGCATACTATATACCCCACACTAAGAAACACAGATTATATATACATGTAGCGTAAATAGGAATCTGAATATTTTTAAAGATCTTACTTGTTTCTTAGCAGCACGCTTAGCTTGTACCCGTTCATATTCTTCTTGCGCTTTTTGATTTGATGTTTTCTTTTTATTTTTCTTGGGAATAGTAATGAAGCTTCATAAGATAAAGAAAAATAATATGTAAAGATTAAAAACAATATAACCGAAATTATGACAAATATGTCAAATATAGTACTTGTATATTAAAATCTCACTAATGCAAATAAATAGAAGGGGGAAGAGATAAGAAGAAAGAGAATGTTAATCTTATTGATAAAATATACAAATAACAGTATTAAAAATATAGTTATAACTTTCAAGATAGATTACAAGGGGTGACTGGAGACTCTTGGAGAACTATTTCAACCAGGGAAAATACAGAAAGATTTGAAAGATACTAGGATGTAAACACACACACACACACACACACACACACACACTAAAAAACACAACAGGAAACATATGAATGGCAGGAACAACAGACTGAAGGCATTAAATTGAAGGTCATAACGGAAGTTGTAGATGGACATGAATTTTAATCCCAAAGTTCTTTGACCACTTCATCTCTATTATACTCTACCTACTTGTTCATAAATGACCACAAGTCCACTTAGAATTATTCTATCTTTTGTTTTTTTTCCCCCTCACTTGAGGATATTTTTTCCACTGTTTTTCAGAGATAGAAGGAAGAAAGGAGGGGAGGAAGAAAAGAGGGAGGGATAGAGAGAAAGAGAGGGGAGACGGGGGTAGAGATTTGCTATTTCCCAGAGGCAACCCTGGGTTGGACAGTGAACCACAAAGTGCCCGATTGAAAATGGAACTCATGACGCTTATGTGCGTGGGCTGACACTGCAACCACTGGGCCACACTGACCAGGCAAACTATTCTATCCTGAAGTACTCCTCAAGTCTCTGAGGTATCCCACCCTGTCACAGGTAATTCAACCACTTGGACCCAGACTCCATCCATTTCCTCAGGCTATCCGATTCATTAATAATCTTCCGTTTTCCCGTCTCTCAACTTTTCACTATATCAACTTCATAAACACAGTACAAAATATTTCAGTACCTACCTTCTTAAAGTAAACAAATGACTAATTATCCATCACCAAACTCTAGATCCTCTTCTAACTACCAATCTCTTATTCCTCATCCTTTCAAGGTCAAGTATCTAGAAAGAATAGTGCATAAACTAAGATAGGCACTTCATATTCACTGAACTCTGCAATCTGATTTCTGCTCTCACATGGTAATCACACTACCCATCCCAAAACAGTAATGGCCTTCTAGTCAAATATGATGATCAGGTCAATGGGCACCTTTCAGTTTCATTTAATTGACTACTCACTACTTTTGAAAATTCCATTCCATTAGTTTTGGTGACATCCTTTCGCCCTGATCCTTTCTAGCCCTGATCCTTTCTAACCGCTCCTTCTCAGTGTGCTATGCTAGAGCCTCTCTCTCTTTCTAACCCCAGGTTTCCCCCAAGTGTTTCTCTCTTTGGTTCCCATGTTGTTCTTAGAAATCATATCCATGACCATGGCTTTGGATGCTACATGTAAGGGTAAACGTTTCATCAGGGTTATCTATTGAAAATCTTTACTAGATCACTAATAATTGCCTAGAGCACAAACCCAGAAGACCCGATCTCAATCTTGTTTTCTTGGACTTTATAGTATTTGAGTTGACCAATCCCTACTCTGCACAATTTTCCTGTATTGAGAAAGCTGTTACTGTATTCCCCTCTTTCTCCAATTAAGGCAGTTTTATTTAACTTCTTCAGTGACATTTCCCTTCAAAATAAGAAATCTTTAAATACTATTTTAACAAAGAATTTTGTGTCATGATTAAACTTTCCTCACTTCAATTATCAATACAAACGATTCATTCCTCCATTTCTAGTGTTGTTTTTTTTTGTTTGTTTTTTTGCCAACCTTTACACCCATTGATGGACAAACGTACTGAAAAGCTGAATTTTTAGTATCTCTGTCTTCATCCCCAACAACACTCTTTCCTGGGTTCCAAGTTCCTATTATGCTTAGCAAAAATAGCTCCAATCTGGCCAAAACCGGTTTGGCTCAGTGGTAGAGCGTTGGTCTGTGGACTGAAAGGTCCCAGGTTCGATTCCGGTCAAGGGCATGTACGTTGGTTGCTGGCACATCCCCAGTAGGGGGTGTGCAAGAGGCAGCTGGTCGATGTTTCCCTCTCATCAACATTTTTAGCTCTCTATCTCTCTCCCTTCCTCTCTGTAAAAAATAAATAAAAATATATTTAAAAAAAAATAGCTCCAATTTGAAAGGACAGAATTTTAGTGAAGTTAAAGGTTATGGTCCCAGGTAACACCTAGCTTCTCTGCAAGTTTAGGTTTAGCATCTTTTTTTTAACTTGAGTTATGTGCAGAGAAAGCTTTATAAGTTAGCATTTATAAAACCAAAGTGTATGGTGCTATATTGTTTCTTTTTGAATTGATACTAAATTTATATCCTGTGTGTGGGGGGGTATCTAAATTAATAATAGTAGCTAACACATGGTACTTCTTATATATCATATACTTTTTAAAGTACTTTAGAACAAATGAACTCATTTAGTATTTACAATGTCACAATTGGTCAGGGACACCATAGAGTCTGAGAATAATTCATTCTGGAAAGGTACAACATGGCAACTCTCTTAATTAAATACTTATAATTTCCATTTTAGAGAAGTCCAGCTTGAGTCTATTCATGCTGTTAACCACCAAACTGTACCTCTCAAAAATTAGTTAAAAAAAAAACAAAAAACCAACCCATATATTAACAACAGGCATTAACCACAGTCCAAGTAAGTTAAATGTACTTGAAAGGCTGCAATCTAAAACCCAGATATTTTAATACCCATTCCATTACTTCTTTAATTAAGCTAACCTACCCTAATTCAGTCATTTAACATGAAAAAAAAAAAAAGTGCCAACATGAAAAAATTATTGCCTAATTACACCATGACTTCTAAAATGCATCAAATAACAATTTCAATTTCTACATAAATTGTCTAATTTCATAAAATACTACTTAAGCTTAAAAAAAAGAATTTCAAAATGAGAAAATACATACTTTATCCTTTCTTCTTTACATTGCTCTTCTGGCTGAGGCTGCTCAATGCTACAATGCTCTTCAGACAAAGCCTGGTCAGTGTCACATGGTTCTGTGGGCAAAGCCTGATTCACCTGTTCTTCTGACAAAGGCTGCTGAGCTTTCCTCCGCTGCTCCCTCAGCCTTTCCTCTTCGGCCAAATAAAGATGCTTCAGGTGATCGGGATATCGATCTCTGAATTGGGATTCCTGTGAGGTTTGAGCCTTGTTTTTCCGCCATAGCAGTTTCTTGTAATTTTTCTGAATCTTCAATTTTCTTCGAAATGCAAAGCCTTGTCCTACATTGAAGAACATAAATCGGTAATTACTTTCTCAGAAAATAAGCGGCATGAAAAAATGTAGCTGTGACTTTTCCATCATCGCATTCAGATGCTAGAATTGCTTTGTTTTGCTTTGAAAGGTCATTTCAAGAAAACAAGTTTAAACTAACGGAGTGAACAGTATGTTGATTCTTTGCAAACTTAGTCATGAAGACACTTCAAGAAAGAATCTCAAATAAGGCAACATGACTTAGAGAGCGTGGCCCGACTCCAGTTTATTGCACTCAGAAATCTAAACAAATTCCTTAATCCATCTAGGTCTTCAACAAAGCCTTAAAAAATACAGCTCACAACTATTATTTTACCTTAGAAACACTACTGTACGACTCACTTTTAAAAGCAGCTCAACACAAGAGAGAAAGATGGTGCATGACATTCTGAACAGATACCTGAACTTAAGATGCATGAGCTCTGCGGGAACTTGCGGACAACAGGACAAAATGACACAAACACGAACCAAAGCCAAGGAAAGGAAGGCCGGTAAGAGAAGAATGGAAGGCTCTGGGTTATTTGTAACCAGCAAGGGTATGGGGCAGATGTCTGGCCCTAGCTTTTTTTCCTATCCTTTTCCCTAACACATGCCCCAATGTATACACACACCACACCCACACACCGCACCGCAGAGGCTCTCTGCTAACGCCTTCGTGGGTAAACGTGGAGGAAGAGTTCTGAACAAGAATGGAGGCTAAGTGGGAGGAGATGGTGAAAGACGGTCACCAGCCGAAACCGGTTTGGCTCATTGGATATAGAGTATCGATCTGCAGACTCAAGGGTCCCAGGTTCGATTCCGGTCAAGGACATGTACCTTGGTTGCGGGCACATCCCCAGTAGGGGGTGTGCAGGAGGCGGCTGATCGATGTTTCTCTCTCATCGATGTTTCTAACTCTCTATCCCTCTCTCTTCCTCTCTGTAAAATATCATAAAATGTATTTAAAAAAAATAAAAAAGACGCTCACCAACCTGGCCTCGTCTTCCCTCCGGAGCTGAGACCCCAGGGCTTCAGCTGGCTGAGGGGTGACGCCCTCCGCCCCGCTTCCCTCCCCCTGAGTTAAAGGCCCGGGGACTCGGAGGGCTGCCTTCTTACCCTCGCGAACGCTCCCCGCGAAGGCCTGCGCATGGTTCGGTCGCCACGTCCTCTGTTTCACATTCTTATTCTTGAATCCGGCCGGAGAAAACCCTTCGCCCGGCGTCCCCCAACTCGCCGTCCGCCGCCCCGGCGCCGGCCTCGCGGGCGCCATGGCACACCGAGCGCGTCGCCGGAAAAATATCACAACGGACGCGGTCAAAGCACGTCACCAGGCGGAAGCAATCCATCGCCCAACCGCAGTGTTCGATCGGAGCTCGACTGATCCGGCCTGTGCGACTCTCCGCGGAGCCCCCGCCTCGCGTCCCCGTTGGCGCCATCTACAGCTCGGGCGGGGGAGCGTCATGGCGGCTTCCAGCCCGCTCCCGGCGGCCCAGGACTTGCCCACGCTGCGCGCCCAGCTGCAGGGGCTGCTGCGGTTCCTGAGGCAGGCCCTGCCCATCTCCAAGGCGCACACCGTGGACTTCTACACGGAGTCCGTGTGGGAGCAGCTGGTCGACCTGCCCCCGGAGACGGTGCTGGAGGTGCTGAGGGAGACGGCGGAGGGCCGCACCGCGGAGGCGCGCCCCCTGGCGGAGGCCGAGGGCGGAGCAGGTGAACGGCGGCGGCGGGAGGGGCGGGCCCGGAGGCGGAGAGGAGGCTCCGCCCCGCGAAGCGCGCCCTCCAGCGGCAGCTGGGCGGAACCGCGCGAGCCGGGGGCGGGCCTGGGCGGGGCCCGCGAGGCCTGCCTTGGAGGCCGCCGAGGTGGGCGGGGACACGGGCCGGGGACCTCGCTTTGGTCCCTGGGAGCCCGTGTGTCTCCACCATTGAAAGGGAACCAGAGCCGGGACCGGTTTGGCTCAATGGATAGAGCGTCGGCTTGGGGACTGAAGGGTGGGTCCCGGGTTCGATTCCGGTCAAGGGCATGTACCTTGGTTGCGGGCATATCCCCAATAGGAGGTGTGCAAGAGGCAGCTGATCGATGACTCTAATTCTCTATCTCTCTCCCTTCCTCTCTGAACAAAATCAATAAAATATATTTTTTAAAAAAAATCAGAGACCTGCAGGGGAGCCCATTCGTTCAGTAACTCGGCAGTCATTGTTGATGGGGAACAGGGTCCTCACAATGCCTCTAGGTTCCGGGTGGAAACACGGAGAAAAAGGACGTCGTCAGACATCAGCACTTAATCCATCAAGATAATGGCAAACGGCCCTGGCCGGTGTGGCCCAGTGGATAGAGCGTCGGCCTGCGGACTGAAAGGTCCCGGGTTCGATTCTGATCAAGGGCATGTACATTGGTTGCGGGCACAACCCCAGTAGGGGGGTGTGCAGGAGGCAGCTGGTCGATTTCCCTTCCTCTCTGTAAAAAAAAAAAAAAATCAATTATATATATTGAGGAGACCAGTTCCATAGTACAGGGAAGAAGAGATGGTTATATCATCTGGAATATTTATTAGTTCGTTTGAACATTGCTTAGAAAGTATCTAGGACGTGCCATGCATGAACTTTTTGGTAGGCTGTGGGGCTTTTTTGGTTGTTGGTTGTTTTTTGTGTTTTTTACCCTCAAGAAACTTAGATTCAACCCAGGCGGGTGTGTGTTGGGAGTGGAATGAGGAGAGGACCCGGACAGGCGCCTGGGTCGCCCTTTTGCTTGCAGGTGCTCGGGCCTTGGCCCTGCTGCAAGTGAACCTTGGCATTGGGCGTTCTCTGACTGCGAAGCTCCGCTCGGGGAGCCTCCTGTAGCGGGACGTGGTGAATACTGGCTTCTTTCTAAGTCACGGTTTATTGCTGAGAAAGTTAGGCATGTCTTCAGTTTGCTCTCCTGATATCCACTACTTCGGAGAATGTGGAAAGACATGGTCTTTCCTATAAACAGATGTATCCCCAGGAACTAGCCAAATCCCTGGCTCAATGCATTGAATGCCCCGTGAATATTCGTTACATGACTGCATTAATGAGTGACGCATGGCAGCTTCCCCCCTAGAGAAAAGTAACTACCTTCACTTTGTCTTCATGCAATGGGAGAATTAGGTTGTCTTTCATATTCCAATCATAACAATGGGATTAATTAATATTTTTATTTAGTCTGCACCGTCCTACGAGTAAGTGTTTTCTTGCACATTTTCTCTCTCAATCTTCCCGGCAGCCTTGCGGGATGGGTTCTGTTTCTCCACATTATGAAATTACAAGTTGAGGAGTTAGTTTGTCAGGGACCCAGCTCTTCATGGGGTTTCAGATTTCTGACTCCAGGGTCTGAGCCCTTGGCCACCAGGATTAAAACTATGGTCTGACTTCTTTAGGGATGGATTCCAAAGGCCGTTATTATCAAAACCAGTACTTTTTATGACATTAATACATTCCTTAACTTTAGCTGTGTTTTTATTGTTTCCCCTTCAAAGATGGAATTGTTTTGTTCACTGCTGAATGCTTATTGCTTAAAACAGTGCCTGCTCAGATTAGGAGGTTAATAAATATTTGGCAAGTAAGTAAATGAATGAATAAAGGACACCACTTATTTAGGCTAGGGATAAAATTCTAACATCTTTTGGGGAAACCTTACAATCAGTTTTGTATCTATCCAACAAAAAATGGGATCTGGACTCAGTTGCTCACCTTTGAAAGGTCTTTGGCCCTGGAAACAAAATATTTAATTTTACAGATGGCCCAGTTGCCTATAGTGTTAAAAAAAAATGAATTTTTACAATTTATGCCTGTAAGGAATATTAATTTGTTTCTGTAAGATTATTTGAAGATGGACATTTTTCTCCATTCCTAGTTGCAGTCTGTTGTGTGTGTCAGAGAAGAGCAGTGGAATCCTTTGACCAGATTTGTACTGCAGAATTGTTCGCTCCTATGGACAGTATAATTTAACAGTTAAGCTTTTCCAGGCGTCTTCAAACTACGGCCCGCGGGCCACATGCGGCCCGCAGAGGAGTCTGATCCGGCCCGCCAGGTTTTTTGGGCAGTGAGCGCAGCCGAGGTGTTACAGTAGGAATTAGTAGTTCATATAGTCCGGCCCTCCAGCTCTCTGAGGGACTGTGATCTGGCCCCCACTTTAAAAAGTTTGAGGACCCCTGTTAGACTTTTGTGGGCTGACAGGGTTCAAATGCCTGTGCTACCTCTTACCAGCTGTCTGACCTTGGAGACGTTCATTCATTCATTCAGCAATGTCTCCTGTGGGCCAGCGCTATCTAGGAGCTGGGGAAATAGCAGTCAAGAAAACCAACAAAAATCCTCACCTTCATCTTGCCTGCCTTCTGGAGGGAAGAGTTAGACCCCTCCCTCCCCCTCCCCCAAAAAGTGCCACAGAGAAAGATTAAGTAGAGAGTAGGTGAGGCTGAGTGCAGGAGGAAAGTATGTTTGCAATTTTAAATAGATGGTTTCAGCAAGACCTCATGGAGATGACACTGGAAGAAAATCTAAATAAGGGGGGAAATGAGCCATGAAGCTACCTGGAGGGAAAGCAGGCGAGATAATGAGAACAGGGAGCATTGAGAGGCCCTGGGTGTGTGTGGGGGGGGGAGGGGGAGGAGGGAGAGGAGGGGACGGGACAGGGAGGAGCGGGGAGCCTGCATGGTGTGTTTCAGGAGCAGCCAGGAGACTGGAGCAGCTTTCCTTCGGGGACTCACAAGGAGTACGGTTTTCTGCGGGTTTTGTATGAGGAGTTACAAATAAACACAATTCCCGAGCTGCAGCGCGCTAATGCTCGGTGTTTGGAAGCCACTCACAGATGTTTGGCACAATCATTTGGTGTTTTATGAGAAGCCGTTTCTGAAATCCTCCATGTCGCCATTTCCGTCCATTTCTCTTGCCAGGTGATCTTTGGGCCCAGTCAGTCCTGAAAGTTTCTTCTCCTCAGTTCAACTGAAAAGACCGAGCAAAAAAAACAAAAACACACACACAAACTTGATTCTCCAAAATAAAAAAGAGATGCTTAAAATAGCTATATTTTGCCGAAACCGGCTTGGCTTAATGGATAGAGCAGTGGCCTGCGGACTGAAAGGTCCTGGGTTCGATTCCGGTCAAGGACATGTATCTTGGTTGCAGGCACATCCCCAGTGGGGGGTGTGCAGGAGGCAGCTGGTTGATGTTTCTCTCTCATCAATGTTTCTGACTCTGTCCCTCTCTCTTCCTCTCTGTGGAAAAATCAATAAAATTAAAAAAAAATTAAATAATAAAGTAAATAAATAAAATAAAATAGCTATATTTCAGAGACATAAATTATGGGTGTTATAGATTGAATTGTGTCCTTTCAAAATGTCTATGTTGAAGCTCTAATCACCACTGTGACTGTATTTGGACATGGGGCCTTGAAGGAGGTAATTAATGTTTAATGAGGCCATGTGGGTGAATCCAATAGGACTGGGGTTGGCAAACGGGGGCTCGGGAGCCACATGCGGCTCTTTGGTACCTTGAGTGTGGCTCTTCCACAAAATACCACGGCCTGGGCAAGTCTATTTTGAAGAAGTGGCATTAGAAGAAGTTTAAGTTTAAAAAATTTGGCTCTCAGAAGAAATTTCAATCTTTGTACTGTTGATATTTGGCTCTGTTGACTAAAGAGTTTGCCGACCACTGCAATGGGAAGAGGACGAGACACTAGGAGGGCATACACTGGTGAAACTGTGTGAGGATACAGGGAGGAGGCAGCCATCTGAAAGCCAAGAAGAGAGGCTTCACCAGAAATCTACTCTGGCAGCATTTTGATCTTGGACTTTCAGGTTCCAGAACTGTGAGAAAGAACACGTGTTTGTTGTTTAAGCCACCTCGTCTGTGACAGCCTGAGCGATATAGTTCAGTAGGCTTTGCAGACGCTGCCTGGATTCAAGTCCTGGATCCCAAACTTACTAGCTTTGTTAGCTTGGGCTTTAACTCTCTGTGCCTCCGTTCCTCATCTGTAAAACGGGGGTCATTACAGTGCCCACGTGGTGGAGTGCTATGGAAGGTAAATGAGTTAATACGTAGAAAGAGTTGGGAATATGCCTAACGAATAGCAGCACTCAGTCCATTCATGTGTTTGACTAATGCTTATTTTGTACCATCTACCTGCCAGGTCCTGTCCTAGGCCCTACGGTGACGGTGTGAACACACAGAGTTCCTGTCGTCATGGAGCTGATGTTCACTGGCTGTGAGGGTAGACACACAGTCAGCTCTGTGCATACTCTCCGGCAGCAGTAA